TGACAATAGATATTTTTTTTATGGGAGAGAAAGAGCAAACCACACCAGAGCGCTCGCCAATCACTCACCAACTTTGTATTCTGCGAGTAGTTTATTGCCAATCCTGTAAAATATTTTACTGTCTGGTGAACTTTGCCTCTGTTAGAGATCGTTTGGGCGCATCGTTGGTTCAGATTGTAGTATCATTCTGGGCAATGTGTCTGACTGTGGTACGAGTCCCAAATTATGGGGCGGTACAGGTTTGCTTCACGGGGTGTATTTGAGGGAGGTTGGGGGGGAATCATTTAGTTTTAGTAAGAGTTTTACGCACTTGCAGCATGATAAGGTCATATAAGTGCCGAAGATTAGAGGTGTTACAAGAGAGTAACAAACACAAAAAAGAAGGAGGAGAGATCTTAATGATAGAAGATGTTTGATAGGACAGAAGGAGCAGACCACATCAGAGCACCCGCCAACCACCCACGGACAATCATTTAAATATATTAGAATTGTCTGGTGTGTTTTCGTAGTTCTTTACCCCAGTTTTGTTGTACAAGTAAACTTTGACCACCATCCCCCCTCACCCCGCCCCTGTTCCTTAAATAAGAAAATAAGTTGAAAACGACTTTCATTAATGACGTCACGACTTCTCAAATGTAGCCCCCCTGAGAGTGGAGACCCTCGATGTGCGTACTAGGTCAAGTAAGATCGGGATGGGCAGCTAAACTTTACTTTTACTCGCTTGGTTAGGTCCTGTCAGAGATCCCGCCTTTTATATGGTCGCCTTTAAAGACAAGCGGGCTAACCCAGATTTCGGGGGTTTCCAGAAATCTTGACCTACACCAAAAGTGGGCATTGCCCTGCCTATCGAAGAAGTTTGGTTTCATTTATGTGTTTTATATTTGTTTGGTTATAGAGAAAACTCTCCTTGTCTTTTAAAGAAACTGAACAAGGGTCCAAAAACTTTACTTTCGATTTTTTTCAGAATAGCATTTTTCGAGATATTCCCCCTTGTGCTTAAAAGCGACCATATAAATATGATCTTGTGATGTTGAAAAGGGTCGATGTAATCATATTATCATAACGAAAGGAAAATCGAATCAGCAAGACGAAAACTACCGTGATTCTTGGGGATTATTTTTTTGTCGTTTGTTTGTATGCTCTTGACATCTTCCCTCCCGCTTGCCTTCCCTCCCCTTCACCCTCTCTCCATTTCTCTTTCTGCCTTTCTTTCTATCTTTCGCTCTCTCTATGTCTCTCTCTCTGTCTCTGTCTCTGTCTCTCTCTCTCTCTCTCTGTCTCCCTCTCTCTGTCTCTCTCTCTCTTTTTCTCTCTCTGTCTCTGTCTTTCTCTGTCTCCGTTTATCTGTCTGTCTCTCTGTCTGCCTCTGTCTCTGTCTCTGTCTCTCTGGGATGTAATACGCGAAAGATGATTTTAGCTATTTGAAGAACACACACACAAGCACACACACACACACACACACACACACACACACGC